CCAGTCATATACCATTAGATTCTATAAAAAAAAAGGAACCCAGAAGGCAGTGAGTGTGCTGTGTACTGCTCTAAGAAGGATAAAAATAAAATGAAAGTACATGAAGACACTCATATTTGTTCCTGTCTCAGAGGATGTGTGTAATAACAGACAAGGCCAAGCCATCATCAACGGAGGCAGTTCCAGCAGATAGACAATTTTACCAGGGGCATGTTGGTCTATACAGCGAATCTGAGCTGACACACATCTGGACATATCCACAGTGCACCAGCTGTGGCGGCAATGCTTGGGATAAGGAAATTTGGAAAGTCTGAGGGGTGCCAGTGCAGCCAGAGTGACATCAGCTCGTGTGGATCGATGCATCCACTGAAAAATAGTGGCGCACCTGCAATCCACATCTACCTCCACTCTGCAGCATGTTCAAGGCACACTGGGATGTTTCCCATATCGACCAGAACCATTTGATTAGTGGCTAGTGGCCTGCACTTTGTGGCACCCATTAAAAAGATTGCCAATTGACATCACATCATAGACACTATCTGCAATGATGCTAGGTTCGAGCGATGTTGACGAAGGAATGGCACAGGGTCATGGTCTCAGATGAGTCACCCTTCTGTTTCTCTAACAATAGTCATTGCATATGAGTATGGCACGTATGTAAAGACAGGCTCAATCCAGCAGCAACTGTAGAGTGCCCTGCTGTGTGACAACGCAGTATCATGGTTTGGGACACTATTGCATATGATTCCAGGTCACCTCTAGTTCGTATTCAGGGCACTATGATAACACAATGATACGTGGATGATGTGCTGTGGTCGGTGACACTCCCCTACTTTCAGGGAGTGCCCAATGCACTTTATCAGCAGGATAACACCCAACCACACACTGCTCGCATCAGCCAATATACTCTGCAAGGTGTACAGATGCTTTCCTAGTTACTGTTCTCTCACCAATTGAATACATTTGGGATATGATTGGACACCATTTGCAAACCCTACCATTGTCACATTCAGAAGATGAGCTGTGGAAAATGGTTGACAGGGAATAGAGAGCCATTTCTCCGGACACCATCCGTAATGTCCCTGATTCTGTACCTAAATGTGTTGCTTCATGTATCACCCTCCAGTGTAGTCCTACAACCTACTGAGCTGATGCTGTTCTTGCTCTGTATTATGCATATCATTTCAAAATAAAGATCATGCATCGTTTGTTACTGTCTCTCTCTGTTTGCGAGTTTCATTACTTTCTGGCCACTCCTTCTTGGTGTTCCATTTTCATTGTTGGGTAATGTATTTAATTTTACACACAGATTAGACTCAAATTTATATCATAATGTGAAGTTTATTTAGCAAATATGCCTCATGTATATAAGGTTTATTTAGCGAACATGTCTAAATGAAATAGTCATTGTTTCAATATATTGAGTCAACCTGCTATTTGAAACAACATGCCTTGCATTATACATAAAGCCTGAAAAAAAAAGCGGTACTTACGTATTAACACAACCAGACCAAAATTCGCATAAATCGCCAAATTTGGCGACCCTACTTACGGCAACCCTACGTGTTTAGACAAAAGTTTATTTGTAAAAAGAAAAAATAACACTGGGCGTGTACTACCACAGCAATGGGTTTTCGGCGGAATTTGCAGAGAAAAGAAAGAGACTTTTTTGGTTACTGTACCTAACAGAAGCGTCGTTACCCTCATGGAAAAAAATTGCAAAAATATCAAGGAAGGAAGCATCATTTATTCGGATTGCTAGAAAGGATACAATACAAGTGAGTTCGAAAATGCTGGATTTCTGCATGGAACTGTTAATCACAAATATAACTTTGTGGATCCCAACACGGGCGTTCACACACAACATGTAGAGCGCATGTGAGGCTCAGCCAAATGGCACAACAAAAAACAGAGAGGAACAGCCCGTCATCATCTTGACTCACACCTTATCGAATTTATATGGCGCCAAGCTCAAGCTGTTAATGGCAAAGACGGTTTTCAATCAGTGCTAAAAGCAATAGCCAAAAGATTTCCGCTGAAAAAATAATTCTGCAACTTATTCAAATTCGAAACCGGAAGGGTTTAATTGCTATTTTATATTTTAAAACAAAATAATATAAAAACTGTATTAAAATTATCTGTAATTGATAAATGTACATTTTCTTTCTATTCATACTTTTTTACTCAAACTTACAAATCGCGCCAACCTGGTTGCAATAATACGCAAGTATCAAAAAAGCTTCATAACAGTGGAACTGATTTGACATATCACCAAGAACTACCTCAGAAAGTTTTTAGCTGCTGATGTTGCCAGCAAACTGCAAATGACAGATCACACACAAATTTCAAGTGGTCTTGCGGCTACTGAAACAAAACTATGATGGTATTTACGGAAAAAAACTGGAAATAGAACAAGTAAAGTTCAACATTTTTAATTATCCTAATGTTAACTACAGATGCATGTATACCTGATCTATGGGTTTTCAATTCATTTTATAATTGATCAGAACACAAAAGTAAAATGGAATTACATGAATTATTGTGTGCTTCCCTTGAATTGAAGAACAACTCTTCTTATTGATAATTTTGAGGTCTGAGTTAAAATGCATCCAATACAATCAGGAAACTTGAAAAAGATAATCTGCAGCAAGATTATTAAAATGTTTTTGAAAAACTGCTTGAAGATAGCAAGACAGAAGTGTAAGAAAGGAATTAAATGTACTCTGTTTTTATTTACCACATGGGCAATTTGAGAAATACAGTACTATAAAGCAGACTATTGTTGCAAATGTACAGGTTCGTAACAGATTGAATGCACACAGCTCCAAAGACAGGTTGATAAAATTTATTTTATCAAAATAAACACTTCAGAGATCCGGAACTTTCCACAAAAATAGTCGTACAACTCTACACAATATCACAGAATACAGTAGTTACACTTCAAACTACTATGAATATTAAAGACAAAAGAATGCAAAGCTATACTTGGAACTCACGCTGAGCCAACAGCTAACAACAGAAATTGAGAGCAGGTGCTCTTACCGGCCTTATATAGTTTTCGCCTAGTAGCTGAGATATTTCTAGTACTTTCTGCTTCTTGAAATTACTGGAAGGTAATATGAGGGTCAAATTACGGTTGCAGCCAATACAGTGATCAATTACTTTATTCAACAGGGACCAGACCAAAATGTCGCCAAGTTTGGCAACGAAAATTAGTTGGCAAAGTCGTCGTCAGTTTGGCAATATCTTGCCAAATTACCGAGATATGCATTTGCTCAATGTTAAAAAGACAGGTCCCTGTATTCTTACGCTTCCGGCATAGCTTCTCTCTCTTGATTTTCATGTTACATTACACAGAAAAATACAATTTCTCATAGAGTTGCAATAAAATCACTACCAAATGTACAATATTCGTAAGAATATCTTTTGATGTTTCTGCCAAAGACAAAGTTGTCCAAATTTAATAGGCTATCTTGCAAAAGGGATTCAAAATTAATAAGTTAATTCCTATGATTTTAAGCACATTTCATCAAACGAAAATAAGATTAATTTCTGTCACTGATAAGGCTTCTCTACAAAATAGCCTATATTCAAGTGATAGGAACTTCTTCACACTGTCAGTGAATACATACTAAAGCATTATAAGCATTGCTAAGCTGTGTTTGAGTAATGACATTTATTGCTTGGAGAAGTAATTCTATATTATTTGCAATCTATTTTATGGAAAACTGTGAAAATTTCAAAATATACTTGCGATGTAAATGTTAAATGAAACAACAATTTTACATGGATAAATATAATTAATATAACAAAAGAAGTTGAATTACACACCACTTACAAATACCTACAGCTATAATGTTAAAATGATGATACATGGTATCTTAATTTAGAAAGATACTATTTATTACGCATGTATTAGAATTGCTTTGAGAAAAATTAAGTGACATGATTCAAGTGAATGTTATGAATCTAAAAAATGTTTCTTTTGAGAATATCATCAAAAGAAGCATTTCTGCAATCGCCAACAAGATTTTAAGTCTTATCAGCATAAATTGTTCTGTTCTTATACTTTACAAAGTTTTCCTGCAGTGCACCAGGGAAAAGTTAGAATGAAGTTGTAAATTTTAAGAATAAATCTGAATTTTTGATGTAGATAAAAAATATTACCTTTCAGAAAACATTAAAATTCCAAGATTGTCCAACAAGAAAATGTGAAGATAGTCGGCACCCGGTATCGATTTCTCTGTGATGTGACCCAAACAGCACATTCAGTAGGACCTTTCATTCATGTTGAACGGACTAATTAATATTCAACTAATTTTGACATTAGTCGTTGTGGTAAAAAAGAAAGCTTAAAAATGTGAAAAATCACATTTTATCCTATGACAGAATTGATTTCACTACTATCTTTGCATGGATAAGGGAAGAACCATGTGGGATATTTATACAGAATCGAGTTTAATTATAGGAAATAAGGTTTTTGACATATAAAGCTTACAAAATTTCAAACAGAGATCCCTTATTCCAGCAATTCCTTATATTTAAAACAAATATACTACATCATCTAATCATATAGAAATACTCTAGATACTTTCAACATTAATACGCATTAGCCAAGATACTTTCTCAGAAGCGATGATAATCTTAATAAAATTTATCTATTTCCAAACATACATCAAGTTAGCTACAAAAAAAAAAAAAAAAAAAAAAAAAAAACTTTGTTCCCTTACACACAGCTATTTTCAGGAAGATCACTGTTTAATAATACTTGTGAAGTTTGAAGGGTGAACTATAATGGTTTTTCTCAGTGAAACTGAAGCAAGAAAACTAATCCGAGAATAATGTAAATGCTGTTATAAGAGTCTAAATAATAATTAAGCAGAAGAGGAGCCCTTTCAAACATTATTTTTATCAATTATTATTAACAGAAATTCCAAACTGTATAAATTATGTAACAGATATATTCAACAAGATCTGAAACTATAAAATATATAACAAACCTATGAACTCATCAGGAACTTCCACTTCATAAAGATAATCAAAAGCAAATGCAGGAAAACGCTCCACCATAACTTCTTCTGTAAGAATGGCTAAATGCTCTTCTCTATCAAAACAGTATTTCCTGCTTTGGTTGCAGTTTTCTGGAGCTAGTGGATCAAACAATGATGATGAGAGAAAACTATATGCATGGCCACTTCCTGGTGGAACCCCAGATTTAAAAAAAATCTTTTTCTGAAAAAGGAAAACAAGGATGATAGTTTTCTGTTCAAAACAAGAAATTGCAATATTTTGAATATGTCAGAGAAAGTAACCATGCATTTTCTACAAGAATTTAAACATATATTAAAATGCATATTTTAAATTATGAATTACAAGCACAATGGTCTGTCAACCACAATGATCAATCAACCAATAACAGTGTCAAAAATGTTTCAACAACAGAAAGAAAAAAAAAAAAAAAAAAGATTTTTTTTTTAAACTGTTAAGATTATTAGAATTCTCGACACAGTTAGTTTTTAACAATAATAATTAGGTTCTGAAATTTTTATATTTTATATTTTCCTGCAATAGCACCTTTAAAAAGTATTTAATTCATGCATAACATTTAACTTTAAAGAAGTTACTATCATTATAATGCATTAGGGATATGCAAGCCCTCAATATTCATTTGGCATGACTTTCTATACTAAAGAGCTACTAATTTCACTTCAAGGAATAGCATGGCACCCTCATTTAAGAACCATGATTCAGAATAAGTGTATCTACACAGAACTTTTTATCTGGAAGAAGAATGCTTCTATTTAAATGACATTTCTTTTTATACTAAGGTTGAATCTAGGCAATTTTCAAAATACATGCTGGCATACATCTAAAAATTTGTGCTATCCCTCATTTAGCACAAGATGCTTGGGTCATTTACAATTTGTTTTTTGTCACTGAGCAATTTTTCTCAGAGATATTCCAAGACTTAATCAAATTTCTTTCTTCTAATCGAACAACAAAATTAATTCACCAACGGAGATAGTTTTTCGAATAATTTTTGCAAAGTCAAAACTGTGATTATAGGGCCTATTATGATTAACCATCAAAGATAAACAAATCTTCATGCATTCTTTTCTTCCAATATTAACAAGGAGAAGTAAACAGACTTCTTCTTTTAAAACAAAGATTTGTGTTCTCTGATGAGAAATTTTAATGTCCTTATAGTTTAGTTGACACGAATCAAATCAAAATGACAAGAAATAATATAAATTCTCCAAATATTAACACTTTATCGACTGATCACCTAATAATTGTCTTTTTTCGCCAACGCCTACCAACCGATAGCCTGTTAATTGGCTTTTTATCGCCAACGCCTATCAACCAATAGCCTATTAATCGCTTTTTTTGGGGGGGCTACCTAAAAATAGCTTGTAGCCATGGCGATAAACAATTGCCATTTGCTTTATCATCTGCATTTTATAATTAGGGAGAATCTGTGGCTGAGCGGCCGGTCGGACATGTGTATTCTGTTGAACTGCTAGCGGTTGGTAAAGGTTAAAATCAGAAATTATATTTTTAAGAATCAAATAACCCATTTTAGTAATAAATGAGAAAACAGCTTAAAAGCTGAAATTGTGGAGAAGCTGAACAATTTTACAACTAATAGAAGGATAAAATGGGACAGGAATGAAGCTGCATAATTATGGCTATTTTTAATAACAGATGCCTTTTATGGTGGTAAGAACAATAAATTTTTAGCTTCATCAGTAACCACACGAGGAGAAAACCCTTTGTTGATGCAAGTGATTTCAAATAATTGAGTTCTTGAGAAAGAAAAGATTCTGAAGAACAAGCTCTAACAGCATACAGCATAATGTACATGAGAGTACATTAAAGTCACTTTTTATTTTGTCAAAATGAAAAAAAAAAGAAGTAACAGTCCACAGAGTTATAAAAAACTGACATGAAGTTTTTATGAGTGTGTCATGCTTTCCCATTATTGGTAATATATTGCACTGCTTGGCAAGATTGTTGAAAATATTCAATGGCAAAATACATAAGTATCGAAATTTATAACACTACATCATTCAAAATAAATATTATTCAAGATATATATAAATTTTAAATCAAAATTCATGTGCTAAAAACTACACTGGATTGAATACCTGCTTAATCAATAATTGTTACTTACTGTAACATAAAACCACATACTATGGTGACTTCCAAATTGCATTATTTATTTTTTAACAGCAGCTAAACTTCTGAAGAGAGTAGTGGTAAAATACTGGGATATTTCCAAGATAGGTACTCCAGCCCTTCCACACTCATTGCACCTCACCTTGCAAATTGAAGCATGTTTTATTAGCTGTACTGGCTTAAGATCATAGGTTTTCGAGCACGAAAGAGCTAAAAAACACAACACTGGCTGCATTGGAGGAATATCTCAAAGAATGAAATACAGGAAAGCTTTGAAGACTCACAAATGCTGACAGAAGTGTTTTGTAGAAGTGTTTGTTTTAGAAGATAAATGTTTTTTGGGATGATGATTCCAACTTACAGATCTACCTGAACTTTTGAATCCTACTATGTATATCAACTTCCTCCACAATAATAATTATATTTGAAACTTTTTTCTGATTGCCTGGTTCCTCATGCTAAATTCTGTTACTCAACTAAATAAAAAAAAATTACCTTTTTTTTCGTATGCTTAATACTTGTTCTTAATAATGTATTTAATTAACTGAGCATTTTTCACATTTAATAATGCTACAGATTTTTAAAAAGTTTCATCTCACAATAGATGTTCATAAATAATTTATAAAATGATATAACAATAATATAGTTCATTTTAGTTTTTAATCAGCACTTTATATTTCATACTCTTCTCTTCCTTCAGCTAATATTAGTGTTCAGCTCTTAACACTCCACACCAAATTGGAATTCTTAATAAACTGATAACATCCTATGCTGCTATAATTTATACAAAAGATTCATGATAGTTAAACTTTCTACAAATGTTCTCTACACACATGAAAATCTATCAAGCAAACATAAAAATTCAGTCAGTTTTAAACACAAATTCTTCTTCCAACATGTGCTATCCAATCTACCATCTGTTTTGATGTCAATTTCAAGATATATTTCTTTTCCCCCCCAAGAGTTAATAAGTACCCATCAGATAATCTTAAATGAAATGAATATGTGAACTTAAAACAGAATTTTTTTTCTCATAGAGAAATCCACCATACTTAGAAATGCAGCAGGCTTCTGCCTTAATTAATGCTGAATAAAAATTTGAAATTTTCAAAATAATAAAGTTCTTAAAATAAGAAGCATCTTGATTTTAAATGATCTCAAAATAAGAATGTGAAGTTCTTGAGAAAACATCCTTGAGCAATGAAATCAATTTCATAGGACTATGCATGAGAATATGTATCATAAAAAAGTTTTATGTGCAAAATAAAGCGATTTTGTACTTAAATAAATATGCCATTGCAAAAACAGTACCATTTCATATTGTGGACTCGAAAAGTCGGGAAACCCACAAACACAATCTTCAAGTCCAGTAATAGTAGCACCTGAAACACCAGTTTGAACATTTACGAAATCTTTTCCTCTTGATGTGAATTCCATTGAACATCCATATAAATGAAGGACCATCAGGGGCAAAAATACACACTTTGGAGAACCACAACATGATGGGGTATCTTGAGATAGTACAGTGCGCTGAAATAATTAGCACATATTTTAGGATAAATATTTATACAAATAAAATCTGATCATTCTAAAGAAAGATTTAAATGACATCATGCACATAATTTAAACATAAAATATAACAAATGTTAGATAAACAGACAGCCCTGAATTCCTTTTCCTATTCCTTCGATTAAATTTAACATATCTTAGAAAATAGAGCTAAATAAACATTATTGTTAGATAATGACATAAGCTCAATGTTTCTAGATTTATTTTTTATGAAAAGAGATAAAATTAAACTCTTCTGACAAATGCTTAATATAGATTACTTTGTATTTCCCTATAACACCTAACCAATATCTGTATGCACTCCTGTGACTGAATGTAATGACGGGGGCCAACTCTTAAAACAATTCATTTTATTAGGAAGCTCAACAGAGGTCCCCAAAGTATCACCAGGCAGTGAAAGAACAGTCACCTGAAGCCTTACTGTCCTCAACCTGATTCAAGGAGGCAGATTCAATAAACGTCATACAGTTTTGAGTATTCAAACTCAGAATGACTGGACATTATGCTACTTGCTCAGATAGGTAACAATTAGAAACCTGGTCCCTGTACATTGTATTTCAAGAGCTGAAAATGTCAGACTACAGATTTTAACCAATACAAATAATGACACTTGGGGAGGATCACTTTAATAACTATATAAAATACTTAGTAAAACCTTTAAATCAACTGAAACTTTTGCATTGATTAAAATCATGCCTAATTAAGTTTCTGCACAAAAATACAAATTTGTTTTAAATACAAGAGTGAATTCATTTCTGTGGAGCTAGTGCAGTTAAACAGCATGAAAACACATGCTGTGACCAACTGTAATTGTAACATTAGTTAATTTACAAAAGGCGAGCCAGATATACCTCATAAATGCTTCTTCACTAATTAAGCTCTCTGTCTTATGGCACAGTATTAATATCATACAGAAATTTCAGAAAAGAATGGGTTCTTTGAATAATGTTGTTCTCATGTATAATTCAATAAAACAGAGTTGAAGATAATAAAAATAATGGTTAAAACCGAGAAATATAAACTTAACTATTCATACATCTTTTTATAGAGGATTCATAGCAATTATTTTATAAGTAAAACTATGTATAAAAATAATATTTCTTGGTGAAAATGTAAATTTATAGTAGGATTATTAAAAATCTCTGTGAATGAAACAAAAATTAGAATGGTAACAAAAGCAAAATGTAATTCTGCAAGATATATTTTTTTTATTAATGATGCATCAATGAATTGACCAAATACAAGAAAGTCACGATCATACTGAATATTAAACTAAACCACACTTTCAGTCCACAATTATATAGAAATAAAATAATAATAGCAAATACATGAAGCCAATATTTTGATTTAATTCATTCCATAAATCATATATAATAGACTTCTCCAAGCAGTTGCTATTCACAAACCAAAACATTTACATTAATATCATAAATGCATGTTCAAAACAATGTTTTTGAAGAATCTGAACTTCTATAAACAAAATTCCAGTATTTACATTACCCTGTGGGAAATAATATGCTCAATTTTCTCATGATTTTCTTTCTTTAATGTCCAAATATCAATAAAATCAAAAATTTCCTTATATTAACTGTAAAAATTTCAGCTACCAAGCCTATAGAGATTCTTTTCTTCACCACATGTTATATCTTCCATCTCCATGTACCCATTGATGATTCGAAGATCTGTTGATCGGTGGTGAATCAAACTACGGTCAGTGTGAAAATACTCTCCCACAATCTAGAAGTAAAACCATATAGCACAAATGGATTCTTTTTCTCTCCTGTTACATCTGATGCATTACCAGCCATATAAAGTTATCATGCAGGTTTATTGGCAAATGTTGTAACAGTGTTTAGGATTTTTAAAAAATTTAAAAGTAATACCAAATTACACTATTGTTCACTGAAACATATCATTATCAGTTCAGTTAATAATGCCTAATGAATACTATATTACATTGTAAGAAGAATTTTACATGTAGATAATAAAAAATATGCTCATTTGTAAAACATGAATTTTTTAAGAAAAACATAACTGCTCTGTCAATTTCTTCCTCCTTTTTTTAACCTTCAAAGTACAAAATATAAGCAAGCTAAGAATGTGTTATAAAATCATGTAATTAAACACTTGAACAGTTATGCCTATTACATCATTAAAAAGTTACCTTTTAACATTGAAGGTTAGAATAAGAAGGAAGTGATCATCGAATCAGTTTTTGATTATTGACGAGGCCAAAAAAAATTACAGCCTATTAGAATAAGTATACATTAATATTAAAAAACCTTTAAAACGCATGAACTTTTCCCAATGTATAAACCAAATTGAAGAATTCTCTTAGCCTTTATCCAGTTAGATTCTTTTTCTTGTTCCTCTTCACTTTCAGTGATTCCCCATATTGGAGACACATTTGGGACAAATGACCACGCCCATGATCCCCAACTTTCATCACCAAAATTTCTTCCTGTATCATCCCCTTAAGAAATGAAAGAAATCAATAAGCAAAACTATTTTAAGGATTATGTAAAACATAAAATAGGTAAGAAAGAATGAAGTGTTTTTATTTTTTATTACATAACATAAACAATGAGATAATATATAAAAGCCAAATGTATAAAACACACCTGTATTAGATTCAAACATGTACACTGCGGGGGGGGGGAGGATGCAACAGTTCCACATCTGTTCTACTGGGCCAATTGATAAAATTCAAATTGCGTTTTTCATGTCTCCAAAGCGCCACTTAGGATATGTATAAGATTCATACACAGCATTGTTCCAATATAGAAATTTTGGCACAAAATCGGACTTTTCCTGAAATGGCATGCCAATTCTTTTCCATATTTTTATAAACTAGCTCACACAATTTTAGCTCCTCAATGTTTTTAATACAAACCAAATCTCCTTTTTTTTTATTACACTTAATTGATTCCTTCTTTCCCAGCTCGAAATTTAGGTTCATTCAAAACAAAATTCACCATTTTTTATGATTTATTTTTAAAATTTGTATTTTTAAATAATTTTTATAAATTTTTGGAAAAACATTTTGAGTTATAACCCATAAAATTTTTCCCATCATCTTAAAATAGATGTATTTCTAAACATACCTGCAACAAATTAGAGCTTTTTATTCAAAGTTTCCAAAGATACACGTGAATTTATATATTAGCACGTTTCGAAATTTGGCATATTTGTTAAAAGCAATAATAACATCTAATGTAGTTTACGCACTTTGTTAAAATTATTTGAAAGTAAGAACGGTGTGACGTTTTTCCACTCTCATGCATAATGTAAAAAAGGGAAAGGAAAATAGATTGCCATAACTTAAGAAGTTCGCCAATTCTTGGCGCAAACGGAAAAAATTGCGCCAAGATAAATTTTTGAATTTCTTCGTAAATTTTACAAAAATTAATATTTAGGCATAATTTGAGTCGTAGGATCAAAATATGGAAAAAATTAGCATGATATTTCAGAAAAAATCCGATTTTGTATCAAACTACTCATATTAGAACAAAGCTATATATAAATCTAATATATATCCCACGTCGCGTTGTCGTGATATGAAAAACGCAATTTGAATTTCATCAATCAGCCCAATGGGAGATATAGAACAGTCCCCCTCTTTTTTTTGCAGTGTACATGAAAGGAAGAAGTATAAAAGAGAGAAAGGAAGGAACAAACCTAATTCAGAATCTGAAGAAGTATTTTCAGAAATTCCTTCCTTGTTAAAACCACTTTCTCCATCTGAGATGTTCCTATTCTGTAAAGCTATGCAGAGGTATAACAGCCTTAAAAACATTGGCAATTGTTGATCAGTCAATGAAAAATCTAAGCTTTCACAAAACATATGAATCCTGGTCACAACTGGATATTTGGAATGTGGTGAGTTAAAAACACTGTACAGCCGCCATGTAGATGAACATCGATATAAAAGTGGATCTTGGTAGGTCTCTATTTTTCCACTAGCATCCCTCTATGTATTAAAAATACTATTTTAGTTTTTTGTAAATGAATTACCTAAAATGCAATCACATTTTTATCACTTTCAAAAAGGTTTTTACAGACTAACTTTAAAACAAAACAACATGTTTGTATAATGAAACACAATAACACCTAATCTTAAGTTTGACATTAAAAAAGTTTTAAATGTTCATCATATTTTTAATTTCACAAAATTATAAAGAGCAAAATATATATAGTTACCTAAACAGATACCAAACTCTTTAAATTCACTAATATGAAACAGTTGCAAAAATTTACATTTAAAATTACGAAAAATGATGTTCAGATTGAACCATGTGGTTAAATGCATGTATAATACAATATGAGGGAGTATCAAAAAGTTTCGAGACTAGCTCTGTTGACAACAAACTAATTTCTTCATCTACATGTACACAATCTCTTTATATAGCAATACAACATTCTTGTAACTTTTGCTGTGAATTCTGGAAGTACCTTTTTTTTTTTTAAAGTATGGCAAGTACCTTATGCGATTTGCACTAAATCTCTGCAATAGTGTGAAAATGGTACCCTGATTTTTCACATTCCAGTGATGTTCTTCCATTCTTGAAGACCATGTGCAATTCAAAACCTCATATGATTCGTGGTCACATCTTTGTAAGCTTGCTGCGACATAAGGAATATCTCAGTGGCAGAACTGCTATATTTCACACAAAATTTCATTGCACACCAGGTGTAGTGGTTAGTGATGCTTGCAGGCTTACTGATGGGCCTAGGATCAAATTCCTCCAGAGAATGCATAGATGTTTGTAAGCATATAATGTCTGAGCGGCAAGGAGGCACTCAAAATACACGGTGAGCCAAAAATCTTCTCAAAGGGTTGGTGGTAGGGTAAGAGGAATTGAAGGCTCTCGAATACAACAGAGTGTGGGGGATTTAAGGTGTCCCTTATTTAAAATTGTGTTGGAAACTTATGTTAGCTAGACCTGACAATATCTAATATACCTCTAGAAATGCACAGGTGCTGGCCTTGCTACAACTTGCTACTACTGCTCAAGTTTGCATTCATGTTGGAATCACAAAAGTGGTCATATGTATGGTCACAATAGCATGAGCTACACAGTTCCTGATGCATGCACTACAGCGTTTCTCATCACACTGACTTACGAAGACCAGCGCTCCCTGTGACTGTGCATTCAGCTTTAGGCTGCCATCCACTAGTCGGTTACAGAACTAGTCTTGAAACTTTTTTATACCACCTTGTATACTATATGATATTTCTAATGTGTAACTAATATTTTTAATTAAATACATATATTGTATAATCTCATAGCAACCATCTCTGAAAATGACAAGTATTTCTGAGAACATAAATAAATTTCAGTAGTGATAATTATAATATCTAAGATAATTTCTAATCTGAACAAGACCATCAAATGGCCATTAAAGCAAACACTAAAATGTCTAATTTTGCTACCAAACTAAAGTATTAGTACATACATCATGGAGTTTTATTTTCAACTTTTATTATAAGAGCAAAATCATATTTCTTGACAACAGTAGGTCATTATTTCAAAATTATTCAGCTTAAGTGTGGAAAAATTTATTATGCAGGCTTGATTTAGTTGTTATACCACGGAACTCTTCAGATTATTCATTGAATTTCTAAAATGTTTAAACTAATTTTTCCTCTCTGCACACAGTATTATCAATAGCTCATTGACATGCAACAATTCGTTTTGGACATTATTGTAAATGTAACATACAGTTTAAAGCTGACAGTTCAGCTCATGTATGCACTTTTTTTTTTTTAAATTTTCTTTTCTTTTTTTTTAAATTTCCTAAAACGTAAGAGACTGATCTTTGATCAAAATGATTTAATAACCTTAAAATAAGATACTGGTAAGTATTAAACTTAGGAACACAATTAAAAGTAACTGAAGATGCTGTTAGCACTTTGTTACAAAGGAAATTGGCACAAAATTTGAAATTACAATTGATTTACAATATGAATTTTAAACCATTTCAGAAAAGGAATGATTAACTAACTAAAAGGGAAAAACAAATAGGCAGACATCTTAGGATAACAATAAGATTTGAATGCTTTTGAAATTATGAAATTAAATTTATATTTTAATTTTCCCCCTTTATACATAAGACATGTTTTCTGTATTTTAAATATTTTTCACTAACACTGTTCCAGAAAATAAAGATAAACTTCATCCTAAATTTTTATTTTTTGCAACATTACCCTCACATTCAATTATTACTGTAACTGAATCATAATTCTTTCAATATAATGGCATTTATAAATTGATATACTACACTTCTATTTCAGTATTTATCTATAAGATGGGTATTTTCGCATTACCTGACCAGTGGTGAGAAGAATCAGCGGGCAAAGCTCTATGTTGCTACCCAGGTTATAATGAACATTATTTTATCTAATAACCCACTAACAGTTGTGTACAGTATGCCAATATGCAATGTGCACCATTTTGAAATTTGGAGGGTTATATTTGTGGCTTCTGCTTTGATTAGTATGTGGAATTTTTTCTTATAAGGAATATATGGAGTTTGCCTACTAATGAAAAAATAGCACTTGACGAAAATTTTGAAACTTGAAACTATTTTACGAATTGTTCTTGGCTGATTGCAATAATAGTTTCTCTGATTAAGTACAGTTCTTTATTTTAATTAACCCTTTATGTTCCAAATTACTTTATTTTTGCAAAAGAGTTTGAAGCTTTTTTTATTATATTTCTTTATGCGTGAGAAATATCTCACATTAAATTACAAAATGTTATAACTTTCCATTGCTTTTCAAAAAAAAAAATAAATAAATAAATAAATAAATAATAAAATAAATAAAAATAAAACTGGGATTAAAAGTTCTATGGCAAATAATTCTATCCACATGAACTGGTGCTAGTAATGAATAAGCTAAATAGAAAGGAAAAAAAAAATTAAACTTGCATAATCATTTTAATTAGAAACATATTACCCCTTAAAACAGAATAATCCTTTTTTCCACAAAAATGCCATTCATTAAGGAAATCATAAAAATATTTTTTTTTTATTGTTTACACAGAGGAAAATTTTGCACAAGAAGCATTGAAAATGTGACTTTCATTCAGTTTGTTTTGAACATACTTTACAATGCCTCGGCATTTAGCAAAAACTGGCCGTTGTGCTTCTTTATTTTGTTTCCTAATATTGTCAGATACTGAAAACTTGCTCCACCTGCATTTCGGTGCAGAGATAACATTTCAGAGGATTTAGTGCACCATTCCCCTCCCTCGATTTCTATCATAAAAAAATTTCAACATATCACCCTCGTCAGTTGTTTGAAGACTACATGTCTCTGTTCCATGGTAATTTGACATACAGAACAATTGCCACTTTATCTGAAATAGGGAATCCATTTATCAATAATATGAAAGTCAAAATCTATTCTTTTTTTTAAAGTTTTAGTTTGGGCCAGAATTGGCAAGCCTTTATGACTGTTTCTTACTTTGCCACATGAATTATTCCAATAGATTTTAACCTCTTCATCGTGAGTAACACGTCTAGCATGTTCAAGTGAAACTTCTGCAGGGCGGCCATAACATGCTTCAAGCTTTCTTCTATATTTTAAAACTTTTAAACATTTCTAAATGTTTACTTATTTGAGTTTTTATTTTTGTTTGTTCTAATACCTCCTAGAGGGCAGCACTAATCAGGCATTCTATTTCTTGTTGAATTCCCCCCCCCCCCCGCATTTTTTGAATATTCTCGCCATTTTACATAAGATACAAGACAGTGAGAAATGGCTTCAACGTCTACTCTGCAGAAAAAGAGAAAAAATGAGGTTGTGAAATGGAAAGGCAAGAAGGATACGTTTGATGAGTACAGTCCATAATAACTTAATGATCGATGTTGAAACACGGAAAAGAACTGTAAAAGATTACAACAACAAAATGGGATTAGTGGACCGCCTGGATCAGATGTTATCAAATTATCCTGCTGTTAGAAATAAGAAGAGATATTATTACTTTTCCCTTATGCTTTATTTCCTTATAATTTTACTTAATAGTCATTTACAATCATCCACTACGATAGTTATATATGGAAAGTTATCATGAACAACATCACACAGAGAAAACAACATTACACGCTGCGAAAAACAGAGAGCCCCGCTGGGGAGAAATTTTCGCCGATAGGAGAGGATGGCGAAAGGGTTAAATACTTAAAAATTTTAATTGACAAAAAAAAGGTAAAAAATGTAAATAAAAAATTTAATAATGATAAGTTAACTAAATTAAATGAAAAACTATAATAATTTAATGTAAAAATTAAGCTTGACATTTGAGAGGAAAAAAAGTACACTAAATAAAAAGAATCAATGAAACCTAAAATATACAAAGTTTATAAATGCTATGCGTCAGAGTCCCAGGGGGACTGTGCAGTCCTGCAAGAAAAATCTTTTCTAATTCAAGAAAAAATGAGGGTTTCACTCTCAAAACTTAATCATAACATCAGTGAAAATTAACAATCATAAAAATTATGAAGGATTTATCTCTATAATTAATCAGACATCCAAGGCTTAAAAATTAGGCAACAACAGTTCCTCCATACTGGCCTTTTCAGACAAGTGTTAGCAGCTAAAATGCTCTGTAAATCTCTATCATACAAACCAAGCTCTGCTACCAACTAATTTTGATAAATAAAAACTTAAAATAACATGGACTTTAAAGCCTCAGTAGGATTTTACTGAAAATTTACATCTTACTGAGCAATTTTAGCAATTTTATTAATGGGACTTTAAAGTCACATAGGGAAAGAATGGGTTAAAACAGGTTGAAACATTGAGAGCAGTGCAGCATTGTTCTGCAATGCCAAGAATTCTGCAATTCTGATTTTTTTAAGTTAAAACAGGTCGATATACATGTACAGCAGAATAAGAAGTTTGGGTACATTCTGATTATCCACAATGCACCATGGAAATATATGAGGCAAAGCAGTATGTTCCCAAAATAATTATGTGGCAACCACAAGTTCATCAAAAAGTATACACTTGGTAACCCATATATCGGGTTTTAATGAAAGTTTCCCGCCACCGCAAATATCGTCTGTGCAAACAGTTGACGGTGGCATGTTTAATCATATGATTTTTGGCATTTGAAAAAAGAGACTTGCTTTAGAACACTGTGTTGTGAAATTTGTAAAAATATATCGTTATCTTTAAGTACAAGGTGTCCGAAATGGAACTATCACACTACCAGATTAGAATCATCATTTACTTCCATTTCTGTTGCAAAGAGTCAGTTGCCGAATGTCACCAAATCATGTATACAGCTTTAGGTACCAATGTTGTATCATATGACACTGTGAAGGTTTGGTATCAAAAGTTCAAAAACAAGGACTATGACATTCAAGAAGCTGAGTGCTCTGGCCAACATTAGTGCCATGTCTATGAGTAGTTGTGCTATGCATTGCATAAACTTCACGTGCAAATTCAACCGCTGGGTGCCACATGAGCTGACTCAAGCTAATAGCAACAGACTTGTTCCAGCCTTCAGTAATCTGCTCGAATATCAATGCAAGGACAAAATTCTGGACCAGATTGTCACTTGTGATGAAAAGTGGATTTACTTCAACAATACAGGCCGAAAAAGGGGGTTGGTCTGCACCTGGTGAGCCATCAACAGCATCACACAGCACAATCTAACACAAAGATAGTGCTTTGTATTTGGTGGGATTGCTGTGGTTATTATACACAAAGAGTATCTGGAAAAAAGTAAAACCCTCGACAGCAAGGTGTACAGCGAAACGCTAGTCTGTGTTGATGCTGCTATCAAGATCTGGCAAGAAAAGGTAATGTTTCATCAAGATAATGCAAGACCACATGTGTCAGCATTCACCAGCTGGACTCTGTATAGACTCGAATGGGATCTTTTGCCACACCCACCTTATAGCCTCAACGTTGCTCCTTTGGACTTCTATCTTTTTTCACACCTGTAGCTATATCTTGCTGGTGCTATCTTCCATTCTGCACCAGGATGCTCAAAATGAGGTTGATTTGTTTTTGGACTCTCAGCCACCAAGTTTCTTGGCCGAAGGCTTTAGAAAAACTACCGAAACGTTGGCAGAAAAATCGCAAATTTGTGTGGTGATTACTACCTGCACTAAAGGTACTGCTTTAATGTTTCTTTTTTCTTTTCAAGTTTATTAAAAGAGTTTTGGGGCAGAAAACTTTCGTTACAACCAGATATGTTCATGCTGAGATTGTGCAATTCTTTGATTCCTCTTTTTTTTAAAAAAAGTTAAAACGAGTGAATGAATACAGATAGCAGTGCCAAGTTACTCTGCAATGACAAGATTTGTGCAAATCTCTGATAATTTTTTTACGTTACAACATTTCACTGTGCACACAGATTGAGAAAACAGGAAGATAAGTGATATTATGGATGTTTGTTGCATTTTCAATTTAGTTAATTTGTGACTGTTTCATCAAATTTTAAGTCTTTTCGTTATATATGTTTGTATTGTGTAATTTTTATTGTTTAATTATGGATGTACATTGTGCATTTAATTTCGTTCATTCATTGCTGTTTTATATGATTTTCAGTGCTCTGCCATTTTTTGAAAATGGCTACTGTTTTTCATGTGTCAGGATGGCAAAATAGTAGCTGCCAATGACTGGGACTTCATGGGATTGCTGGATGGATAATGCACAAGTTTCCCAATACATCTTAAGAGCTTTGAAGAGGGTAAATCCATTAAGGAAATGAATAACTGTCATTAGTGACAATCTTTTTCTCTTAAGATGATTACCAAAGATCAACATCATTTGGAATCATATGGGGGGAGGGGAATTCTGAGAGAGGGTTCACTATATCACAAGATGGCATTTCCAATTTAATTAATTACAGCAAAATATGAGATGGTTATGTGCCTAAGTAGAACTAACGGCTTAGAGGCTTACTTAGGGAAACTGGCTCATATGTTATACTGTGCATGGGGAAACAAAAGGAAAAAAAAAAAAAAGAAGAAGAAGAAGAAGAAGAAGAAAAGAAAATCTAACCCATTTTATTTGCAGGACCTGTATGAGTTAAGAAAGAAAGCATTATTAAAAAAGGTAATTAAACAGTGGTTCTTATAAGAAATGTTTGCAAACAGAAGAGTAAATGCATTTAAACTTAAAACTGTTTCAAATATGGCAACAGCCAAATTAATAATAAAATTATAGATTCTTACCTTATCTAAACACACAGTAAGATCATGCATGTGAATAACTTTTCGGAAAACAGTATCAGCTAAACTTGTGTCCACAAAAGCTTTTTCCCATTTATTGTTAACATTGAATAGTTCCATAGACTTTATATTCAGTGAGAGCACAATATCATCTTCAACATATTTCAAAATAATATTGTTACAAATAATGCTAATGTTACTAATAACACGATTAATAAGACTCTGAACATATCCAGGAGGTGCCTCTAAATCATCTGTTTTTTTCACAATTTTATAACTTGAAATTTTTTTTGACCGATGAGGATTCTGTGTATCATAATCAGAGGCATCAGAATCAACAGATAATTTCAAAATGCATTCAATAGTATTTATAGTAATGATGACAGGTTCAGAGCCTAATTTAGTCCATGGAATGTGGATTCGCAGCTCATGGATGTGACCATTTACAAAAGTGAAAGGCAGCTGCAACTCTTCCTCCAAAACATCCAGTCTCAGATCCAAGTTGCAAAAAACTGCATCACCACCCCATAAAGAAAACTAAACAGGGGAAAAGAAAAAAAAAATTAGCACTTGAACAAATACTGATATACATACATAGTAATCTAGATTTATAATACATTGGTCAAGTGTGCAATCCTGAATAACAGCATCAAACATGGTCGATGGAAAATACTTCAGAGCAATTCCAATCTTACTACCTGGGGATTATCTTTGAAAACAAAATTCAATGATTCATGTATAATTATCAATTATTCAATACTTTAACAGCTTAGATAATAAATTACAAACTAATACAGAAAATATTACTTAAGAAATGCAGTACATACTATTTAAGTAGCATATTTACTATATGTGTACAAAAACATGCAGTTTTAAACTGCATGTTTTTGTACATATATAGTAAATAAGCAAAAAACCTATAAATGAAATTTTAAGGGTGAAAATTGTGCACTATTGTTGCAGAAACTATAAATTTACATTTTTTTATCATTCCCTAGGAAATGAAGAGCAAAACTAGTGTATAATGAAACTGTAGAAGTTCTTTAGTAGATTTAGATTAAACTATCGATCAAAATACTGTTAAAAGTGTTAAATTGTAATGGAATTCAAATTTTAAAAAAATTCATAATTTCAAAGTTTAATGAAAGTTAAAAGTTAAACCAACAGTTTAAATTGAAAGTAAAAATTTAACTGAAAGAGTTAAACCAAAAGTTAAATCAACAAGAAAGAATTTAAACTGAAAGTTAAAATTATATTTTGGGCCAAGAATTTTCCTTTTTCACTGTAAATTAAGACATTTTAAAATTATATTTTATAATTTTATAACTTTTTGTGTATAATTTTTCCAATGTGTTTTTATATCGATTTTCTCTTTGTATTTACAACTCATCAGGTTAAAAAATTGCATAAATGTATATCAAACATGGCTAAACTGCGGCTCTCTGACACCTTAACTGAGGCTCACGAGCTACTTACAATCCTTTGCCATCTGAAATGGGTATTTTTTTAAATAAATATAGTTTAATGTTTTAATACAAATGGAATTTGAAATAGAAATGATGCAGTACCACGTTTCTTTATTAATCGCTAATTTAATTTCTGATACTATGTATGTAAAAACTTGATAGATTTCAAACTATCCACTGCTGGCTTATCGCCAAGGAAACAAATACGTAAAACTACAAATAATTCCATCAGTCCTTGAATAGCGTGAGTAACTGCTGAAGAAACTTATTTGGCCTTGCAATACATATAGACCTCTTTTAATCTGTGCAAGAATTTCACAAAGATTTTATTTTTGGTGGAGTGAACTTTCAGCCTTTTACTTGGTTAAGAGACTTGTCTCAGTTTTCTGCAGAACTACTTCAAAATTAATTTCCTATCCCTAAGCAGGTTAGGCATATTTACGCAATTGCTTCACAGATTTCATAAACATTCACAATAACAATCTTAATAAACACTTTTCCCACATGAAGCTCTATCTTTCGTAGTAATTCCTTGGTAATCCTAGGCAGAGATCATAATTTATTTCACCAATGTTTGTGTATGCTGAACTATTTGGAGTCATGGGAAGAATCATTGGTTTGACATTTACTTAAAGTTTATTTAAAATGTTTAATTCACATTTTTATCAAATACTGTAACTCCAGATAGAGATCTTTCACCTTAATTATGAAATCTTCATATCAATAACGTTGCATCAAGCAATGAGGAATCAACAGAACACAAACGTCTCTCTTCTTCAAAGTTTCGGTCAAAATCGGCATTTTGATATTGGTGAAATATCTTTAGCTTGTGATATTTTCTCGTATTTTTCGATTTCTTGTTTGATGACCTTCTTTCTTTCTACCTCGCTCTAGGTTAGAGGGATTTTGCTGCACTAGGTTAGAGTTGCTGGTAAATATCGCACTAGGTTAGACGCATTTTTCTGCCTAGCACATCTACAATTTTTCACCTCTTAGTACTGCCACTCTGCAGCTGCACCAGTTGCCACAGCTCTGATGCCAGCATTACACTTCTTTTAATCTGCTGATATTTTTGTCTTAATTTTCGATCATTGTGTATGTCCTTCATGGAAGCTTAGTAATCAAATGAAAAGTTGTGCAATGATCCACTACAAATTTCAGCCAATAATGTAAAATTTTGCTCCCGTAAATGTTTATTTTCTAAAGTGTTCTCTGCCTACAAACTCCATTTGAGATTTATTTTCTGCACACAGTTCAGGTCAGTGGTCGGCTAACCATGGTTCAGGAGCCAAATATGGCTTTTGGCTCCTTGAGTGTGGCTCTTCCACAAAATAGCACATGGACAGTGAGTATGCAGATCTTCTGCATAACAAAGTGCAATGGTTATTAAGAAAAAACATTTTGAAATGCTTTGTGTTTTTAATACAAATTAAAGCATTTCTCCTTGAAAAAGGTGTTTATTAGTGTTTATTATCCAGATTTAATGAACCATCAGTTGGAACCAAAAATTTTATTTCATGGTAGAAGTTACATCTCATCTAAATCAGCTTAATCAAAAGCTACAAGAACAAGGAAACACCATTTTTTCGATGTTAGAAGAAGTTATTTCATTTGAAAACAAGTTATCTCTTTTCGCTCAAGATTTTGAAAGAGAAACTTCAACAGGCAGGCCTGTTGAAATATAGCCTAGAAAATAATTCTAATATTGACATTTGCTATTTCAAAACAACAGTTTTCAATAAGAGAAGTTTTCGTCAGTAGGTTTCAGGAATTCAGGAACAACGAAGCAACATTAGCCTTTGTTAAAAACCTTTTAATACTACCGCAACAGAATTAGATTTTCTCCCTTTAATATTGACACTGGGAACTTTGAAATCCAATTGCTGGATTTAAAAAACAAAGAATTATGGAGCTCAAAATTTAATGCTAATATAAAAACATTGGAGAAAACAAAATGTGAGCTTAGTTCAAAGCACCAGTGGCCTGCTTTGAAAGACCTGGAGAAGGAAGATGTTGATTTTTAACATATAAAATAGTATACCGACTCATATAATAAGCTGAAAAAACTAGCATTTGCTGTTCTTTCTTTACTTGGGTCAACATCTTCGTGCGAACAACCATTTTCAAGCCTTATTAAAACCTGAGAAGTGGTCTTGTTGATGAGAACTTGGAATCATGCTTAAAATTAAAATCAACATACAAACCTGAGTTACACAAACTTTCCAAAGAGATGCAAGGCCATTGTTCACATTAGTGCTTGTTCGTCATTATCATAGAATTAATTTTTTGGATACCTTACAATTTTGTTTTATTAATAAATAGTATCATTAAGTGCAATATCAAATTTTATTTGACATACCTATAAGAACTAGGTTTAACTAATCTCGTTTAACTAAGAGTATTCAAGTATTAAGTTAATTTTAGGGAGTGTTGTGAAGTGAAAAAGAATGTAGTGTTGAGAAACAAAAAATGTATAAGATGGTTTGGACATATAGAAAGGATGAACGAAAGAAGATACACGAAATGAGTATACAAGACAAGTGTGGATAGGAGAGTTGGAAGAGAGTCAACCCCAGCGAATGTATGTTGATCAGATTTAGAATGCTCCTAGTAAAAGCCAGCATAAGAGTATCCTAATTAAGTGAATAACAATATACCTACCTGTATAATTTAAGTTAAAAAATGTGGCTCTCAAAGAGATTTCAGTCACTGAGCTGTTGATAATTGGCTCTGTTGATTAATTAGTTTGCCGACCACTGATTTAGGTAACACAAGGGAAAGTTGCACTATATAACTGTTAGAACAATAATAATTTGTTTTAAACTTTCTTCTGAGTTATTTTATTTAGAAATTCAAGAGGAGATGGTAAGTCATTTGATTGCCTTTATGAGTCCAATTGTTAGAATATGGTGGATCTGTACACCTATTTGGCAAGAGCTTAGGACCTAAACTATTGTGCAGATGTCTTCCATGTTACAAAAAGCCTCAACATCATACATCTGTGCATGTCCATAGAAATATAAAGAGTCATGCCTTCATGTTAGGTCTACAATTGCAAAATATATTCATTATAGTAGTGACAGGCATGTTTTCTTTCCATAACATTAGTTTTTAATTGCCATGCATTTGAAAAACAGCTCAAAATAAACATCTAAGTAAAGAGTTCGGCTGGTTGAAAGATGGGACATGTGCTCAATGAAGTGTTTATATAGTCCAGCATGAACTACTAGATTTATTAGCAATAGGTTATGTATGTCCAGAATTATAGCCTAACTTCATTATCTAAGTCCAAAATTTTGGGGACTATTTGAGAAATAGTTTCGAGAATTTTCAATGATGCCCAGTGTTCTCAATACTAAAAAATTCTGGCAGATTGCATTAGATGGCGCACTGAAATACTGTATCAGTCAGGACTGTCATAAGAGATACTGATTATTCAAATACCACTGAAACTGCAATCACATTCTCGTTTTGGTGAATTCTTCTATACTGGATATCAGTAAAAGAAGTTATTCCAAAGTTTTGGAAAAAAAAATTTTTTTTAATGATTTCTTAGGTTAGGATCCAAAGATTTGAATGATCTCAGTATATGTTGGTCCTTATATTAATTGTGAGGAGAAACAAAATTACTTTTTAAGCAAAAGCCTAAACAAGTTAATAGCTAAATGCTCTTTCTCAAATACCAGTTTCTTTGCAGTGCACGTTGATGTGTGTCATTTAATTATCCTTTCTAAAAGACTACTCATGAGTTAAAAAAATAAAAAACCCACTCAATTTTCTTTTAAATAATGATTTGTAATTTACCCAAATAACATATTTTTATGTAATTGTAGACCAATGAATATGCTTCTGATGCATTTTACTTCTACTAAAATAAAGCAACAATAATCATAAATGGAGAAGTGTAAAGGAAAACACAAGAAAATATTTGGTTTCTCTGCCTGAAGAAAAAATGCTCACTTGCCCAGTACAAGAGCTATAAATTTTTATTTTCTTGAAACTTATTCAAAAGCTGTCTCATTATTTTTGAAACGATATAAATTTGGACTTGAGGCTCTTGATCATTCATAA